TTTTGATTGCTAGCACTTGCATTGTTTGTACCATCGTGTGGTACCTAATTGCACCCACTACAAGTCTCAGCGATTGTTTTTGGACGATGTTCTTCTATTTGTTTGGAAGCCCGGTCAAAGTAGTACCCCGAAACAATCAACTGTTCATTCTAGCTTCATGTCTGTATTTTAATATAGTAGTACTAGGAATCATTCAGGGTTATTTGTTTCGGACGATTACAACCACCGAATTTGGGCTAGATTTGGACACGCTAGACGATGTAGACAAGTCGGGTTTGACTATAGAAACGTCGTTGTGGTTGCCTGTAGACGGTAACTCCTCCACGATTGCCAACTTGCGAAAAAAATTGAAATGGACGGGGTTCCACGTTTACGATTCGGTTGCTACTCACCGAAATATTGCAGCTACAAATCTACAGTTTTATGCAGATTTTTTGATTAGAAGTAAATACATAGATGAAGAGGGGCTACCGCTTCTACACATTGTCGACGAATGTTTAATTACCTCCTTCGTCGGGCACTTTATGCCCAAAGGGTCTGCTTTCTTCACTATTTTTAATAACGCTATCATGAAAATGGTCGAGTCGGGTCTAGCATATAAATGGTTACGAGATATTTCCGACAGCAAAATTACTGAAAATATTATAAAATTAAATAAAAACAAAGAGGTCACTCGGGCGTTTTCGTTGTATGATTTACAGATTGCCTTCTATTTGGTTGTCTTTGGATGCATAATTTCTGTCTTCATTTTTCTGAGTGAAGTTCTATGGCACAAAAAATACACCCTTAGAATAAAAACACAATGAACTAGTTTTTATTAAGTATGTACGTAACTTATAACAAATTCCAACACGAAAACTACCATCGAACACCCATGTCCTAGAACTATGATACGAAAAGCCGCTTGCATGTCGTAGATGGTAAACGAAGCAAAACTAATACCACGGTCTAACCCCTTCGTTGCTTCTGTTTCTATGCTACTGGACACATCGCGGTACCACTTCAACGTAAAACCACCTTCAAACAACCTCATAATAACGCTATTAAAAGCAAACAAAAATGGTGACCCTTTTGGTACTATATCAACAATCAAAAACGAAGAATGACATTCACGTACCATGTGTAGAAGCGGCACGCCATCTTTCCCCGTGTACTCGATTCTAATTATGCGATCAAGATCCTGCTTCCGACCCCATGTAGCAACCAAACCCTCGGCCACTTGGTCGTAGGTACTGCGACCATGAGTCGGTACCACTCGTGTCTTCAATTTCGTCATCAATTCTGATTCGTCGTCTCCAACAAGGTACCAGTAGTTAGTAGCAATGGGCAAATTTGACTTGTATAAATCGTCAAGGGTGTTAATGTCACCATAAAACACAGTCGTGGAGAACTCGGTAAAAAAAGCACCATCGATAACTCCAATAATGATGATATTGAACACGAAGCACGCAGTGAGGAAGAAAGCTTGACCCAACGTGGGTACTATTTTGACGGGAATTCCAACCAAACACGCGTAGACTTGCCAGGTCGCTTTGGAAAGTTGTCGGGATGGTCCGATCCAGAACCAAAACACCACACAAAGCAAGCTTACGAGGAAAATGGCGCTCCAAGTCACACAACTAAAGCACGTAAATAACGTCCTCCATGCTGGTATTTTCGGAGATTTGGGTACCACCATGCAGAACTTGTCGGAGTCGTACGGTACCGTGAACTCGATTTTTCGGGTGTCGTAGTTCTTTAAAAAGCGACCGTTCGGACTGTAGTGGACTTTTCGACTAACGACGTCTGCCAGAGATCCAGTGATAGTACCATTGTCCAAGACGCGACCAAACGGTTCTCGTTCTTTATTTTGTATTATGATTGGCTCAAAATTGAAGTGCTTTGCCAAGTTTCCTAGAAGGAAAGCATCTATGCCTGCGTATCCTTTGGAGTGGGATAGGTCACCATAGATAGGGTTGTCGCTCAAAAATTTTGGCGGCGATTTCAGTACGTTGGGGATTCTCCAAAACAAAGATACTTTGAGAGGGAACCCGTTAAAGTTGACTGATGGTCTCCCGATTAGTTTCACATTGGTGAGTATTTCGTCAGGGTCGTAGGAACGAGTGACCCCCCAGGTGGTACCAGTGCGATTGAAAGCAAAGTGTTTGTACACACTTTTTCTAACACAAGAGCACGGAGTTTGCGCTAAAACGTTAAGAGTACCGTATTCCATCCACAAGTGTTGTAAAAGTTTACTAATTTCGCTGTACACTGTATGGCAGTACTCATGGAAGATGATGAAAATGGCGTAAGTTCCTCTTCTTTCACCAATTTGGGTACCGAACGCCGTTTTTAGAAACTTTGTTAGTACTTCGATGCTCCACACGATGATGATGTGACCTCCGATGTCGATAATGTCGAAATTGTCGTCAAACGTGAAATTTTTGTAGAGAAAGAGTTCCTCAAGACTAAAGTACTGTCGCATTTCGTTCATTTTAACAATGAGTTTTTCTGTAAATTCGTTAAGTTCGTGGTGGTGCTTAACAGTTTGAAGAACTGTTATTTTTAGCGATCTGACGAAAGAAATGTGTGTTTTGTACACTAACCAGTGGTTGTCGGTCATCAAACAAGTGTCTTTGTTTTGGATAAGTTGCCTCAAACAATGTGTCTGTAAAAATGTAAAGACTATAATTAGAGAAATCAGTTTCATTATTTCATGGCTTCTAAACAACAATCAGTATCGATTAAGGTCTCTTGGAATAACAATAAATCACGTCAGCTCTAATTAATTGATGGAAAGGTGGCAATTAAGTTGTTATTCTGCGGCCTCCTTCTAAGAAATCAGCATTTAGGCACTCATAACAAACGAGAGTTGCTTTGATTAAAAGAAAACCAGTTGAAACTGATCGTATCTAAATCAAAGCTTCTATAAATCACATCCTTGTCCATTTTCGTCCAATTAATTTCAACCGAATAAATTATGCACAGACATAATCGATCTTGTTAACACTAACAACATTAATAACGACGTCCATCTAAACGATGCTTCAGATTTTTTTACTCACGATCGTGTTGTTGCTAACCCAAGCCGTGAGTTTTTTAGAGCAAGAAAACGTTTCGAAAATGGTCAACATAGACGAACTTTTGGAAATCTACAAGAACCACTTTATTCTGGTTCGTTCGTTAACTTTTACCCTCCTGCAAGATTCGGAACACCAAATGGAACTCAGTCAAGTCGCACTTAAACTAATACAGAACATCCACACACTCAAAGTGGTACAAGAAAAATTTTTACCCAGAGATAGTGCGACCCTTCCTTTCCACTTTTCGCCACCGGGTAATCTTTCCATCCACTCAGGTGTGAAACCACCAAAGGAAAAAGATTTCGTCAAAATTAAATCCCTGTCTTCGGATTCGTCAGAAGGTTACGTCGTCATCGCGTGGAACGTCCAAGTACTTTTACAGTTTTTATACGAAAGTTTTCATGTTGTAGTACCCGAAGCACGAGCCACTTATTTGTTGTTGTTTGTTTGTCCCGACTGCGCAACCTTTGAAACTTATTTAAACGGGGTTTTAAAACTTTTTTGGGTTAAACATCAAGTTTCTAACGCAATCGGGCACTCGCTGTACCCGTGTGGTGGTACCACAATCTACACTTTTCACCCGTTTGTCAAAACCATGGATGGTACTTGGGGTCTAACTCAAGGGTACACAAAGGACGAAATTCTTAGCGACTTTACTTTAATGACAAATTCGTTCAGTGATTTCCAACAAATCCCATTGCGAGTGGCACTTTTTCAACGAAAACCAACTGCCACTAAAGCAGTACCGAAACTACTAAATTTGAACCCGATTTATCAGAACTGGTCGCTTTCTGATGGTTTTAGTGGTTTGGATGGTTGTCTTTTGAGAGAACTCTCTCGGTCTCTGAACTTTGACGCCGTGGTGGATCACATTGAAGGTACGTACGGACGGGGGTTTCCCAATGGTACTTTCACGGATACTTTAGGCCAATTGGTTAACCATAAGGTTCACTATAGTGCGAACGGGTGGTTCCTCACTGACTACCAAACCAACGAGATTGAGTTCACGACGCCCTATAGTTCAGATCAGGTGTGTGCGGTGGCCCCAAAGGCACCAAGAGTACCACCATGGAAGTCTCTCATCTTCTGCTTCGATCTATTTTCCTGGATATTTATTTTCTTTATGTGCGGTTTGTGTGTTCTTTTCTGGTATATTCTAAATGCGAATAAACGCACGAGCGTGATCTTCTGGGAAATGTATTCAGTTTTGTTCGGGATTCCAGTCCGAATGGTACTACTTCCGAACCAGTACTTCTTCGTCGCTTCCTGCTTGGTGTTCAATATTATCATCATGGGTGTAATTCAAGGGTCGTTTTTCACGGATTTTACCACGGTGGTGTATTACAGGGATATTAACACTCTTGAGGAGCTAGATGAATCGGGGTTATCGATAGCAACGTCCACGTGGTACTTGGATTACGACTCCTCTGAGTTAATGAAGAGTTTGAAGAAGAAACAGGTTGAGAAAACTGAAGAGTCGTTTGGAATGGCGGCCCACAGGAGAAACGTTGCAGTTTTGTATAGGAAACAAGACGCAGAATATCTGGTTAATGTGAAGTACCTAGGGGTCGAAGGGTCTCCGCTTTTACATATAGTGAATGAGTGCCTCCACTCTTTTTTGATCGTGAACGTGCTCCAAAAAGGGTCTCCGTTTTTGAAAACTTTCAACAATGTTATCGCAAAGTTGGTGGAAGGAGGTTTGCCACAGAAATGGTACCACGATGGTTTAGAAGCTGGTTCGCGGGAAAAGTTGATGGAAAAAAAACGAAAGAAGCTTAAGCGCGTTGGTCACTTAGGTGACGTTCAGTTAGCGTTTTACGTGCTTGCACTTGGATATTTGTTGTCTGGTTTATTGTTCTTGCACGAAAGATTCAGAAGAAATTTTTTAATGTATTGCCTATAAAATACTATAGCTTACAATAAAATGTTTCTGCTTTATCACTGTTTATTTCTACAGTTATATTTCACCAAAACTTCGCCTAAGTAAGTCAAAACAGAAATAAAATAACCTATCACTAGTAACCTGAAACCAATTTGCATGTCATACAGGGTGGCGCTTAAAGAGTGACCTTGTTTTTCAAAATTTTTCAAATTTTCTATTTCGAACCCTTCAATGACGTCGTTGTCCCACTTGGTGGTGAACCCCGCTTCAAACAAACGCAACATAACCTCATTTATAGCGTCCAAGTAAGGCGATCCTTTCGGTACTATATTGGCAAGCAAAATCGTCGAAAAACACTCCTTGACGTTATGGACAAGTGGAAACCCGTCCTTACTCTTGTATATAGTTTTGAGCAAAAAATCCATATCTTGTTTCCTGGTTATAGTACCAACGTTCCCTTTGAAAGCGGTTTGGTCAAACGGATCTTCCGTCACTGGTACCGCGTGCTGTCGCAACCTTGTCGTAACGTCCGAGTTATCGTCTTCAACCAGAAACCAGAAATCTGTAGCTATGGGGAGGTTCGACTCATACAACTCCTCTAAAGTATCTATATCTTTATAGAACGTAGTAGTCGTGTACTCGGTGACGAAAGACCCTTGAATTATTCCAAATATGATGACGTTAAAGAAAAAACAAAAAGCCAGAAACACGAACTGAGTATTCGAAGGAGACACTCGTTTCGGGATTCCAACCATAAAAGCGAAAACTTGTGACATAGATTGAAGGAAATTCGTGTATGGACCTACGAAGTACCAGACGATGGTGTACACAATACACGACAACAAAATCAACATCCATGACCACGCTGTGAAGCAATTGAGTAGTTTTCTCCATACTGGGATTCTGGAAGCTTTTGGTACTACCATGCAGATTTGGTCGCTGCTGTAAGGAATGGTGAACTCGATTTCTTCGGTGTTGTAGTCTTTCAAAAATCGGGCGTTGCTGCTCAGTTGTACTTTTTGGGTAACTATGTCACCCAGTGTGGCGATGGCAGTACCGTTCGGAAGAACTCTACCGAATGGTTCTTCGTCCCGATTTTCCACTATAATGGGACTAAAATTGAGCTTTTGTGCCAACGCACCTAAGATAAGAGCGTCCACACCTGCGTAACCCTTGGAGTGGATTAGGTCGCTGTAAATGGGGTTGGTTTGTACGTAGCTGGGTAGTTGTTTGACGACGGATGGTTCTCTGATAAATAGAGACACGGGAAGCGGGAACTGGTTCATGTTGAGTTGTCTGGTCGAGATTAAGTCAGGATTATTTAGTACTTCGTCGAGGGAGTACGACTGCGTGTTGTTAGTTACATCGAAGGGACGGTAGACGTAGATTTTGGTACTATCGCACGAACAAGGTGTTTGTATCGTGATTTTTGCGACGTGGTACTTCAACCATAGTTGGTTTAAAATCTGGTTAAAGTCGTGATGTACTGTATCGCACTTATCAGTGTGGAAAATGATGAGTATTGTGTAGATTGACGTTGGATTAGGAAGTACCAATCGATAATCGGTTTCCAGAAATGTCTCCAAGGTTTCGATATTCGACACACATATAAAGTACCCGTCTTTGACGTTGAAGTTGTGGGTACTTGCATTGTCAGACAGACGTTTTTCTTGTACTTTAAAACTGTGGTTTAGAGTGCTCAATTCGCGAATTATTGACACCGAGAGCTCGCTCACTTCGTTTTGGTACTGACCATCTTGCAATATTATTACATTCAAAAAATGAATAAGTGCAAAGTGTGCTTTATATAGTAACCAGAAGTCGCTTGAAACCGTGCACGAGTTACTTTTTAACAGCGATTCCGACATGTTAAAATAAAAATATTTTTATCGGGTTTTCTACCATAATTTAGTCTAATAATAATTAATCATGACAAGTTTTATTGATCACAGTTAATACAACGAAAATACATATTTATCAAAAATTATATGTTATTAAGATATTCAAAACTAGTTCCTGGAAATATTGCATTTTGACGTTAGCCAAAACAATACGTCACTGCGACAAGCGTGTGCCTCAAATTGACCTTGAAACGATCTTTACTTGTTTCACATCGTTATAGCTTCCATCAAAAACAAATCGTTGGCGTTAATGAGACAAGGAGTGGAAATTTATTTTAGCTTTAATGGTATGTTTACACAATTCGCGTCCCTAATCACCGTCGTTTTGTACCAACTTATTGTTATGGCAGGCCGAAATGAGTCTTCGACTACTCAAACTGGTCTTCCGAGTGGGGAAAATTTTAGCCGTCGCTCCGTCCTACCACGATATTAAAAATCAGACTTTTCCGAGCAAAATCTATGGGTGTTTGATGGCGAGCCTACTCACTTTTGGGGTGGGGGTTTCAGTCGCGTTTAGAGCCGCCGACTACGCCAATTTTTTTACTATGAAATTAATAGTACAAGTGCTTTTGGATGGCACTTTGTACGTGCTTAACATTTATAGTATTTTGAAAATTCCGTACAAGAAGTTTCACTGGAATAAATTAATAAAGAGCATACAAAAATTTGATAATAATTACAAAGTCAAGGAAAAATCGAAGTACGGCAGTTTTGTTTTAGCTAACGCAGTTTTCTTTTTTTATCAGGTGTATATGACGTGCCTCTTGAGTCGGACTATCGGTATTAAATTCTACAAGCAATTTGCTATTGAATATCTGCAACTTTATGATCAATTTGTGATCAATTTCTTGCTGTATGTGTTTCTGACAATGTTAATTACGAGACAAAAATGTTTAAGACTAAAATTTGAGACTCAAATTGCGAAAAATAGCACTCTCGCACAGTTCGATACAATCAAACATGACGTTTGTCTTTTGAAAGAGATATCTGAAATCATCAACGACATTTTTGGTTGGCCTTTATTTCTAACTATCGCGTTTACAACACTCCAAATGATAATGTATCTTCAGTTATTGGCAATAATTCCCTATTTACAACTCCCTTACCTGATTTGCTTAGCCAGTGTAATTCTGTGGCAATGTGTAAGTTCTTTCCCACTTTTGACAATAGTTGCAAAAATTAATTTTTAGGTCAGTACTTTGATAAACATTTTTCTATGCGATGTCGCTTCAAACCAAGGAAAGAAAATTTTGACCGTTGCCCACACTTTGGAAAAATATCTGCCAAACGAAAATCACCACATGTACCAATTTATAATGGTTGTGGAAGACAGCATTCCCCACTTTTCCGCAGCTCGATTTTTCCAAGTCGGGAGAAACACCATCTGTGGTATATTTAACGTTGTTATAACGTTTCTGATAGTGATGATTCAGTTCAAAATGAACGAAAAGGTGACCAGTAGTCTAGAACGTTGTAAAAATGGCAGTGTTGATAATGTAACCAAATAATGTACTTTGTTTATTCTTCATTAAAGTAATTTCTATATAAAGTGTGTTAAACCGACGAGTTGAACGACTAGTCGCAAGAATGAGTCTCAAACTTCTACGCACGATTTTAACTGTAGGAAAATTTTTGGCCATTGTGCCTCCACTGGACACAAAAACACAAAAAACCAATTTTTCTCAAAAACTGTACCCTTTTATTATGGCAGGATGTATTACAGTGGGTCTAGGATTTTCAATGATGTGGAGACTCCCCAACTACCTAAGCGCGGTGACTTTAGGCTTAGTAATCCAGCTTCTTCTGGACTTCACTTTATACGTTTCTAACATGTACACGATTCTGACGTCCCACCACAAGAAGCACCTCTGGTCTAAGCTACTAAGAAACCTCAAAACACTCCAAGACAACAACAAAATCACCGAAGACACAAACCTGAAGTACTTTATTTGGATGAATGTTTTCTTCTGGGGGTCTTATTGCTACATGACGTGGTGGGGTTACTCGCAAATGGACGTCGAGTTTTTCAAACAATTGGCAATCGAGTACGTTCAAACGTACGACGTGCTGATATTTAACACCCTGTTTTGTGTCAGTTTGAAGATGTTGCTCACCAGATACAGAGCTGTGGGAAAACGGCTCCAGAAACAGTTATCGTTTTTTCAAAAATATGGACCAGGTGTGAAGGGACAGTTTTTTGGGGCGTCTGCCACAATTAAGAACGACTTTTGTCGGTTGAAAGAAACCGCGGATATCGTGAACGGGATCTTCGGGTGGCCCTTTCTGTTCACTTTGGTGTTCGGGTGCCTGCAAACCCTCCTCTATCTTAAGGTTGTGGCAGTCACCCATCAGTCAATTGCGTCACTCATGTACCTTCTACTGGTCATTTTTTGGCACTACGTAAGTACCTATAGTACTATTATCGTTTAAAAATGGAGTACTTTTTTAGAATTACGTTTTAATAAACGTCTTCCTGTGTGAAGCGGTTTCAAACGAAGCCAAAAACGTGGTACGAATCGCCTACGGTTTCGAGAAGTACTTTCCAGACAAGAATAGCCACAACTTACAACACTTTATAGTAGTTGTTAAAGACAACATCCCCAGTTTTTCAGCAGCACGGTTTTTTGGTATTAATAGAATGACTCTTTTCTCCACGTTTCACGTGGTGGTCACTTTTTTGATAGTCATGCTTCAGTTCGAGACCGCCCGAAATTCCGCAAGCCACAAAAATTGCAAAATAACTAATTTCGAAAATGGAACACGTCCCCATGAACTCTAGTGTTAAAAAATTTCGATACGCCACTGGTTTGACAAGCTTGATGTATTGATTTCAAACGAGGAAGCACAAAATTCAATAGACGTCTTCTGCACCTGTTGCAGAAGACGTCTATTTTTAAAATTAAAAATAGACGTTAAAATTAAAAAATTTTACATTTTTTCCCGAAAACTAATTCATAAGGAGTGTACTTTGTTTCCGTATGTACTGTAGTATTATAAGAAAAACACCAATAAGATAGCAATGTACTCCATGATCTCGTTTTATTTTCTGTCATCGTTCTCAAATAAGCTCCTAAAACTTTATGAGAATTTTCAAGTGCCCCTATACTCTGATGATGGTAAGATGTAGAATGCAACTGCTTAATATGCAATAGTTTACAAATTTCAGCCATTGTTGATGAAATAAATTCCGTACCCCGATCTGAAGCAATTTCTTTCGGAATTCCGAACCGTAAAATAAAGTTTTCTACAAAATTTTTAGCTACTGTTATCGTGTCTTTGGTTTTTAATGGATACGCTTCTACAAATTTAGTTAAATCGCATTGCAGTGTGAGTATATAGTTAAAACCATATAAATCTTTTTCTATAGGGCCTACGATATCCAAATAGATTTTCTCAAACGAAGAAGATGGTGTAGATGTAATTACCATTGGTTCTTTTATATGTTTACTAAATTTCTGTTTTTGACAACTATCACATTTTTTTACAAAATTCGTAACGTCTCTACCTAATCCTGGCCAAAAGTAATATTTTTTAATATTATTTAGCATTCTGTTAATTCCTGCATGACCACTAGTTGGTAGTAAGTGGAAATCATTTAAAATTACTGTTTGTTCATCTTTATTAAATACACGTTGAGCTCCTGACACAACATAAATCCTTGGAAAAGGAAGGTTGAACTTATTTGTATTTTGGGTACCCTGTGAGCTCATTTCATTATTACATATCCTAGCTAAGTCTCTTATAACATGCGCATTATCATTATTTTTTAAAACTGTCAACTCTGTAATATCAAATTTTTTACAAATTAACGCTAATTCTCTCGACAACTCGTCTCGCGCTGATGCCGATCGGGATTTTAGGTTTGTGTAAATTGTTGACACAGCAGGAATATAGATAAAATTTCCAATCTTTTCTTTGTGATATTTCTCAAAACTTTTGGAAATTGCCTTAGGATTAACTACCAATTCAATACAATCTTTGGGTTTTTTGAGTATTTCTACAATATTCGGGTGATCAGTCCGTATGTTTGCAGTAATCTCTGAATTGTCATATTTCTGGTCACTGGATTTACATTTTTTTACTTGCGCTCTTGTCATCACAGCAATCAAATTTTCATTCATACTTTTCAATTCATTCGATGACACACTCACTCGTGATAAAGCATCTGCAGAGACATTATCTGCTCTTTTCACATACTCAACAACAAAATCATACTCTTCCAAACATAATCTAAATTTAGTTAATCTGCTAGAGGGATTGGTAAGATTGAATAAATATACCAGTGGTCTGTGATCAGTTAAAATTTTAAACCGTCTACCATACAGATATGGTCGAAAATGTTTCACTCCCCAGACTATAGCTAATAACTCTTTTTCTATAGTTGAGTAATTCAATTCGGCTTTATTTAGAACTCGACTGGCGTAAGCTACTGGTTTACTATTTTGATTTGATAAAATAGCTCCAACTGCTATCCCAGATGCATCAGTTTGTAAAATAAACTCATTTTTTTCTGAAAAATCTGGATAATCCAATACCGGAGGTCTCGTAAGAGCATTTTTAAGATTTAGAAAAGCTTGTTGACAAGATTTAGACCATTCAAATGTTACATTTTTCTTACAAAGTTGATTTAAGGGTGCTGCCCTTTCAGCAAATTTTGGTATGTATTTTCTGTAGTAATTAGCAAATGCCACGAATCGTCTTACTTCATCAACTGTTGTCGGAATAGGATATTCATTTAATATTTTAGTTTTACTAGGATCAGGTAAAATACCATTCGATGTAATAATATGTCCCAAATAAAGAATCTCTTTCTTCAAAAACTCACATTTTACTGGATTAAGTTTCAAGTTTACTTCCCTAAGCCTGTTAAATACTTTAATTAAATTAGAATTGTGATCTTGTAGATTTCTGCCAAATACAATTAAATCATCTAGGTAGACAAAACATTTTTCATAATTTAACCCAGA